TACAGTATTTTTAATTACAGTTGTCAGGCTGTACATTACATCCCTGTGACCTATTTATAACCACAAATGTATATTTTGACCCCCTTTGCCCATTTTGACCACTCCAGCTTCAGTCAGCCTCCAGCCAGTTCTCTGTGTTACTGACAGCTCATTACACGCTCGCCACTCTGACCAAAGTGCTGTGTGTATCAGCACAGTTAACCCTCGCAACAGCTGTAAGAAGTGGGTGTGCAATTCTCTCTCCTTTGCAGCAAAGGAAGTCATTTAAGGGCTGAAGCCAGGGGCCAGCGTCTCCGTTGTCAGCGCGGGCAGAGCGGGACTGCACGGCCCGATGGCTGGGCTCCGAGCCCTGGCCCCTGACCGCCCTCTCTGCCTCCCAGCAAACAGGGTTTCAGAACAGGCAGGAGGAGGAACAGGAGCAGACTCGAGGAAAAGGAGAAGTACGCGATGTGTTCTCAGAACGGTCCCCAGTGCATTCGACACTGGAGCGTTGGATGCTTGGTGGGAGCCGAGGGTGGAGAATTTGGAAGAGACAGGTCAGGGAGGGCCGGCGGTGCCTCGGTTGCACCTCAGGGCTTGTTTCTGGGCTCTGGAGAACCTGGGCCCCTGTACCGGAGGAGGGATGGTGTGTGCCTTCCTCCACATTGTTAAGTTTACCGTCCCTCGGCCTAGAGATGGACGTCCAGGCCTCCTTCCCGCTCCTCAGACCCGGTCCGCTCCTCCAGGCTCAATGGGAGTCACCTTTGCCACGCAGGTTTTCTGTCCTGTGTGTCCTGAGTCGAGTGTCCCTGGGTCTCCCTGTCCATGGGTCCCGTCAGGAGCTCCCCCAGTTGCCTACGGCCATCCCAGTGCCGGCTGCTGGGCACGGCAGGCTCTCTACCCTGCTGGCTGCCCCTCAACACTCTGTGAGCACTTCGAATGCCATCCCCACTCCTCGCTGTCGTCCTGGACAGTGGGACCTGGCACAGCGCAGGGACCGTGCCCGTTCACGTGGATCAGGTTCGTAGAATTCTTGCACTACTGCCTTCTCCAACTCCAAAACATTATGAAAATCGAAAGCGTCCGAAAGAGAAGGGTATTTGTTTTATCCATGCTTTGAAGACTATAGAAACAATTCAGCGTGGTTGCTAATGTCCAGCTAGCATAGGTGAGCAGAACCTGCAAAGGTCACCTTACCCCGCTGATGCCCACCTGCTTCCTCAGTGACTCCATCTCAACCCTAGAAACCCTCATGAACTGAGACATTCACTCAACAACAACAACACAACTTTAAAAACTTACACAAAGTAAATGACGGCTGTGGATCAGGGGGCACCTTGTCTTGGATAAACAGACTGTGAGGGAAGAATGGGTTTAGGGACTTGGCTCTGAGCAACGTGGAAGATGGACCACAGACGGGAATGTCCGAGTCAGCAGTCAGTTGGATCAGTGCGAGGATGGCTACGGGCTCTGTGTGGCAGGATTGAAAGATGCAGCTGGAATTATTGACAAAATTTCTACTGAAGGAGGAATTCTGAGCTCTTAGTTATAACCTAGAAACCAGACCAGGGGTTCCATAAGGGAACACACTCACAGGGAAGGTGAGTGTCAAACACAACCTAAAACAACAGCAGCCACGCTCCATCTGCCCATCTCACTCCCCTACGAACCTGGCAGTCTGTTGAAGAACGAACAAGGGAGGTGTATGGTTTAATTTGTGTGTGACCTCAGAAATGACCAGATCCTCTCAGATCATCTCATTTAGTGGTTCATAAATTATGAGACCCCAGGTTCTCTCTTCATAGGGAAAGTTGGTAGGTCACCTTCCACTGGAAGGATAGGTTATGTATAGGATATACTATAGCCTGTCTACACTGGTAACGATGAGAATGTCATCACCGTGGTAAAGGGGGACTGGAGGGGAGTGCATTACAAGGCTATAATGGGACTTGTACATGTAACCCGTTTGGGAAGATGGCAAGGTCACCAGCTGTTTACACAGAGAGCACTGTGTCCTCAATCTACGTGTTTCTCACCTTGAGCGTGTTGCTCCCATTCTCTTTCTTTCAGTTTGTCAGAACTGTAGATACCGCTTTGATGTTTTGTTTTGTTCTGTTTCGCTTTGGTTACTAGGCAGGTCAGCTAATGCTCAAGCACAGTGGCTTTTCACTCCGGCTGCTGGTGTTTCTCTGACTTTATTTTAATGTGTCTTCTGTGTGCTTTTATTGTGAACCGCCTCGTATTCTTGTTAGAAGGGGTGTTGGGTGTACATTACCAGTCACGCACCCTAAGCCCCTGAGCAGCGCCCGGCACTCGTAAGGTGCTTAACAGTTATTGAATGAATGAACGATGGACGGATCCGGCAATGAACTGCATGGCACTTGTCTGTGAGTAGCAGTGAGTGGCACTGAGGAAAGGATGCGTTCCCACCGGTCTGTGAAAAGGGCACTGAGTCCCACAGGCATGGATTTGGTAGAGCAGGAGTCACATTTTCCGAGGGTAACTGAATCCCGAGCTTCCGAACCGGGTAAGACGCGGCCACCTGAATGAGTGAACACGTGAGCGCTCCGGTTCCCCGGTAAGTGCACTTGGTCCCCCCAGAGCGGGACTTCGGAGCACAAGAGCTGCGTGAACAGAAGCTTGGTGCACAAATCACCTGTGTTGAACCCAATGCAAAAATCTTCATTTAAAATACTTGAGAATCAGCCCTGGCTGGTGTGGCTCAGTGGATTAGGTACCGGCCTGTGAACTCAAAGGTCACCAGTTCAATTCCCAGTCAGGACTCATGCCTGGGTTGCAGACCAGGTCCCCAGTAGGGGGCATGTGAGAGGCAACTACACATTGATGTTTCTCTCCCTCTCTTTCTCCCTCCCTTCCACTCTCTCTAAAAATAAATGAATAAATTCTTTAAAAAAATATAATAAAATACATGATAATCAGACAAACCAGGTAACAAACCCGGTAATTCTTGGTCCATCAGCGTTGTTCCTGGAGCAGAAATCGAGGGCAAGTTTAGAAGAAGCAGACGCCACCTTGGGGGCGCGATGGCTGACGGGTACCTTGCCACTCTGCACCCGACTGCGTGCTCTTTCAAGGGACTCAGAAGCTCAGGGAACCAAGAGCTGCTAGTGCCATCTGTCCATCCAGAAACTGGGGACTGGGGAGGGGTGAGGCTCTGCCCCTGGTGGCCCCGTGAGTTCCCAGCCCTGCTGAGGTGGAGCCCAAAGTCGTCCTCACTCTGTCATTTTCCCAGCGCCCGGACAGGAAGCCTTTTGAGAGCAGACGCGTGTGAGAACTTTCGGACCAGAGGCGGGGAGCAGCCCTACTCCATGCTCAGGGTCTTTCTGCTCCTCAGGCAACCTCCGCCCCTGGGGGGAGTGATGGATTTTAACTTTCTCTTACCACAGAGACACCAACAACCCAAGGGGTCCTTACCTTAGCCTCTAAGTCCGTGAACCTGGATGGGAAAAAATGACCTCTTTATTGACCTCTAAAATTTAGCGGCGTTTCCTTCCATTATGAAAGGCATCGAACCACAGTGAACTAGCAGGACTTGTGACTGTTGCCGACAGAAATCAGATTATTTTCATGCCCCATGGGATGTGACAGGCATCTCAAAATGCGGTTTATGGTCCTCACTGCTTTGAGGTTACAGCAGTCACGAGATGACCACTGGCTCTCATTTCAGGCATCAACGGACACATACATGACTATAGTACACTTTTAAAAATATTTCAGTATAATCAGTTCTCTTTGTAACTACTGTGTCTAATTTTATGCATTTAAATATACAGAGTTATCCATCTTTCTATACAAAGATTAGAAAAACGAGGTTAAGAATCACTGCTCAAAGAGAGTAGTCCCTTCAGACGTCATTAACTTCTTGTTCACCGATTCGCTATGGTCCATAAATCAATACAGCGGGGTTTGTTTTGAAGCTCAACAGAGGGAGCTGAGCTTCTCAAGCAATAAAAGGAAGTCTTAGGACTAAGGAATTCATGTCGATTTGATAACAAAACGGCATTCTGGAAAGTATATCGATTCCATCGGCTACAGTCTCTGCATTTCATTATTCTGCATCTGTCCAGTGTTTTTTCAATCCACAGCCACCTCCTCGGCTGGGGGAGGAACAGAGTGAAGGTGACAGCTGCCCGACATCACTGATTGGGAAAAAAGTAGGAGAAATGTAGGCAAAGCTTTGGACTAGCACTAAACAGAAAGGAGGCCCCACGCGCGGGCAGCCTGACGTCCTCCCTAACCTTCAGACCTCCCTAACCGGTCACATTTTGGGGAGTTTCGGAGTTAATTGTGAAGATTATAGTAGCTAGCAGTTGAGGGCTTGTTCGGCTGACGTGTTTTCAGTCAGGAGGGTGCACATGAGACGCAGACCCTTGTGTGTCTAACCCCTGGAGGCACAGACGTGGGACTAAGGAAACTCCAGTTTGGGAACTGAGGCCTTTAGAAACATGGGAAGACCAGTTTAATAAAATTTAAAATCTTATTCTGTCACCATGGTAGGAAATGCGAACGTCTGTCCGTGGAGAACATTCTGTCTTTTCTGAAGTAATGTTGCAGCAACTCTTGGGCCAGGAAAACGCTGTTCTTACTGTCTTTTCTGCAGGCTTCGAGCTGGCTGGGCTGCCCGTTGTCACCCGGGGCCCCTAACGATGTCTGAAGGGGAAGATTGTCTTCTGTGAGTCACTGGTGCTCTCCCTGCTGCTGTTCCTCCGTTCCCTCAGGTCACTTCTGCTCCATGGCGACCCTCTGTGTGGACCCGTGTATCGTGTAGAGCAATCTCTGCCACGACCTCAGAAGAAGGTGCGCTTCTGTTTCAGGCGGACGTTAGAGGCTGCGGCCGGGCCTGGTGAAACCGCCTCCCAGGCGCTTGAGGCTCTCGGAGCCTCCAACAGTGGGACGGACGGCCTTTTGGGGCTTTGTCTTCTGAGTAGTGTGACACAGTTAAAAAAGGGAAAAAAGGGCCACAGGCCACACAGTTGCCAAATGAAGTAGGAGCAGAGTCCAAGAACGTGTGGTTGTTGCTGAACTCCCAGCTCATCCACAGGACGGGCGCCAGCTCATGGAGTGAAACGTCACCTTGGGTCTCAGAAGCGAGAGAGAGATGGCCCAGGAAGTCAGCCTGAGCTCCTTCCAGGAATCGGAATGGGAGGTGATTCTCCCGGTCCTGTACCGAGACCGGGCAGTTCAAAGCATGGAGGAGGAGAGGATACGGTACGCTGTGCCTCGGATGCGGGGTCCTGTGGGCTTCTGGCTTTTTCTGCTAGGGGCCTGCTTCTAGGAGCTTGTTCTGTGGCTCATTGCTTATTACTCAGCCTCTGCCCTGCTAAGGGTCCCACTGACGGGCGGTGGGTGGACATTACCTCCCCTGTCCAGCTCTGCCTCCCAGACGGGAAGGGACATGGGAGGCTGCTTTCGTTCTTCACTTAAAATGGTGTCTTTTTTTGTGACGAATTTGCCCACTTTGTGTGAGTGACTCTGGGGACACTGCCAGGCTTCCAGCACACACTTCCCGGGCAAGCCCTCCAGTTCAGGGTTTCCTACATTATCTTTGGTGATACCCAAAGGCACAAAGAAAAGCAAAAGAGCAGCTTGGAAACAGCAAATCTGCTGGAATCCATTTCTCTTTCTCTCTCCTTTTTGTTTTTTTTCACTTGCTTTGGCTTCTTTGGCTTCCAGGTTGGCTGTGAGGAAAGGGGAGAATAAGACAGGAACCTGCTGGGCCTGTTCGGGCTGCTTTGTCAACAGGGAGTGGCTTTGCTCACCCGTCTCCAAGCTACATAGGCTGTGGGGCATTCGTTAATATTTAATCAAGCAGGGCTGGGCTGTACCCAAGCACTGTCCATTGTCAGCTGTCGTCCATCTCGAAACAGACTCAGGAGATTAAACAGCTGTCATGGCTTTGTTTGTCCGTGTTCACGGAGAACGTGAGGTCTAGAAGAAAAGCCATGGAACAGGCTTTGGATGTTGGTTTGTTTTCAAGGGCAGAACTCTTTCAGAGTCTTCCAAGAAAAATGTGCCCATAAAATAAACCCTCGGACAACCAAATGCTTGAGGGATGGGAAATGCCCTGGTCAGCTGGCTCTGTCCCCTCCTTTGGTCCCCAGACCCTCTAAATGTGCTTACACTCTGTTCCCCGGGGAGGAGGAGTGCCCTGACCACAGCGGGGCGGGGGTGGGGGGGTGTTTCTCTGATGATTAAAGACCTTTCAATGACTTAGAAGCCTCATTTTGGATGCCAACAAAACTGGAAGCTGTGGTAAGGACATTTTGTTCCTGAGGGGACAGATTCTGGGGCCAATCCTGAAAGTCTGATATGAGCTTGCTTCTTGGAATTGGCTTCTCGTTTCTAAAAGCAGATAACAGAGATAGTTCAGTGTTCTGGTTAATGGTGCATCTTGGGGGCCCCCTGGCACTGGAGCTGTTATCCGGAGCAAGGGGACTGGAGCACCCATAAAAAAAGCAGCAGAGCAAAGCATCGGGGAAGTAATTTTATTAGGTGACCAAAGGCAGCAGCAGGCATGCATGCTGGGTGTGTGTACATCTTCCCACGCCTTGCATATTAGAATGAATGTCATTTTCTGTGTTTTTTTCCCCTCTCTTCTTTCACTGTTCTTGCTTCCCATTATAGTGCCCTTTGGGCATGGAGGGAAGAATCTAGAACAAGTTAGCAGCTAACCCTCCGGGCCAGGTCTCTTGTTTATGCTTTGCCTTTTAATCCTCACGGCAACCCCAGGGGCAAGGTGGCCTCTGTTCCAGAGTTGGGAGAACCTCTGAGCCTCTTGTTCTGCCAGGTGGAGCCTGGGGTTGGAGGGGGGAGGGGGTCCGATGCCAAAGCCCCTTCTCTCTTACCGCTTGAGGAACTGCTGGGGCCCAGCGGTGGAGGAGGGTGTCTGGCGTCTGTCCCTCCACTCAGTCGGCTCTTGTTGGACTCTCTGGGCCACAGGAAACTGAAGGCGCACCTGCAGCAGCTCCGGTGGAAAGGCGCGAGGAGCTCGGGCCAGGAGTACAGAGAGAAGTCGTGCGCCCGCTGCCGGCGTGCGCTGGGGCTGCTGCTGAACCGCGGCGCCGTGTGCCAGGGCTGCAGCCACCGCGTGTGCTCCCAGTGCCGTGTGTACCCGGGCACGCCCCGCGTCTGGAGGTGTACCGTGTGCTACGAGGGCAGGTGAGGATGGCGGGACGCCTCGCAGGTGGCTTGCGGGTGACAACCTCCAGTCCAGTGGGTACCTGTTTACACAGGGCCTGCCGTGGAGTTGCCTCTGGAGACTTGGAAGTCACTGTCATTTAAAAATCAATTTTATTGTGTAAAAAAGGTTTTTTTGCCTTTTTTTTTTTAATTTACCAAAGTTTGTTTGCTAGGGTTCACGGGGAGGTAGGATTCATTTGGGCTTTTGAGTAGGTACCTTAGTTTTCTTAGAGCTTTACATATCTCCTCCGGGAAAAGGAGGTGCCTGGTAGCGGGGGACACTAGTGTGACCCTGTGCGGCTTTAATAAGGCCTTTTGGAAGGCGGTCAGCAAGCCTTTATTGGACCCTCAAATAAAGATCTGGGTATGCTTCTTGTTAGTGATAGACTGAACCTGCATTTATTTTAGTCTTTCGGTGGTGTGAGGTTTAAAAAAAAATTTAACATGGAGTTGTTTCTTTTTAAATATTTTATTTCTTTTTAGAGAGAGGGGAAGGAAAGGAGGAAGAGGGAGAGAAACATTAATTTGTGGTTGCCTTTTGTACGCCCCCTACTGGGGACTTGGCCTGACACCCAGGCATGTGCCCTGACTGGGAATTGAACCGGTGATGCTTGAGTTCGCAGCCCGGCACTCAATCCGCTGAGCCACACCAGCCAGGGCAGAATTGGTATTTTGAACTACCCATTTTGAAAACGGAAAATGAACTACCCACATCGGGCTTGGGCTCCCCCTGTTCAAAACAAGCACAGGTTGGTCCTCTGTCCTTGAACACCCAAATGGAGTGTTTCTGGTTGCTGGGGACAGTGCGCCTCAGGCCTTCACGGGACCCAGGGGACAGGAGCAGCCATGACCTGCTGTGCATCTCCAAGTGCAGTCACAGCCTTGAGGTCTGGAAATGCATCTCAACATCTCCTCAGAGGCAGAGCGCCAGGGTCAAGGCCGGCAGAGGCCTCACGGGGTGTGCATGGGCGCTGGGTTTCCTCTCTCCCTCACTAGGGAGGATTGTGGTGATTGAGCACCCAGACACTAATCTCCTAAAATTTCCACTCCCTTCGCACGGCCTAAAGTGAGGTCATCCAGCCAGATTTCCTTGGTCCCGAGCTGCACAACTCCCATTTCTCCTGCAGCCTTCGAAGGTGCTTTGACTCCCTTCAGAGCCCCTCCATGCATCTCAGGGTTCTTTGGTTTGTGGAAGCTGCTGCCCTCAGGCTTTGCCCAGCTTGAGCTGAAAAAGCAAAGAGTTGCTGAGGTGAGCCCTGGCCACCCGCGTGCTCCTGCAGGTCTGGGCTCTTGAAAGGGTAGGTGACCATTCCAAATAATCTCTCCAAAGATCTTAAGATCGCCCTGGCCTATGTGGCTCGGTTGGTTGAAGCATCGTCCTATAAACTGAAAGGTTGCAGGTTCGATTTCCGGTCAGGGCACTTACCTGGTTTGCTGGTTCCATCCCAGTTGGGCACATGTGAGAAGCAACTGATTGACATTTCTCTTTCTCTGTCTCCTTCCCTTCCTGTCTCTCTGAAAATCAATAATCATGTCTTCAGGATAAACAAAAACCAGGCCTTAAGATCTTCCTCCAGTGTAATCAACCACATGTATTTGAAGTCTAGTGATAAACATTGCTTGGTAAGATACTAAATCCTTCAGCATTTTTTCTCCTAATAATTCAACTATAAGCAAAAAATCAAAACAGGAGGACGGGGCCCAGCCAGTCTCCAAGGACGCCGGCCGTGTTGAACTCTGCCCGAGAGGTGTCACACCTGGATATTGAAACTTTACGCCCCAAGCACACCCAGTGTGGCTTCTATAGCCCCAGCTTCCTCATTTTGAACTAAGGGTGTTTTTCGAAATACCTAGGACAATTACCTAACCCTGTGGGTGCCCGCACGGGACAAGTACGGGAGAGCTAAATCATTGCTGACAGCCCAGCCTCCCCCCTTCTCTTTGCTTGCTTTTTTCGCAGCCCTCCGACCTCTCCCCGGTCGGTCCACTCTGCGCTGTGTCCTATTTTAGGGTGAAACTTTAGAGCATTTGTTTGACATTCGTAGCTGAACTGGGACCTAGACAAGGGTTTTGAGCCCAATCCTTTTCCTCCACCCGCTTCTCCCTCAGCCTGAGATTTGTCCCCCTGGAATGAGTGGATCTTTGTGAGGATGGAACAAGGGAAACAGGGTCCTAAAGCCAGGAAAGGGGGAGCTCTAGGGCAGAAATTTAAAAAATAAATAAAAGCAAATCCAACTGGCAGGTTGCTGCAGACAGTGTAAGGCTTGTGGGGGCCTTGGCCTTGTGTGGCGTGTCAGGAGTCAGCTGAGTGTTCTGCCTCCAGGGCTGGTTTTTCAAGGTGGCTTCACAGAACATCTGCAGTTGGGGCATTCCTGGAAGAGGGTCAGGGTTAGAGATGGGGTCGGACACCGTCAGGGAGAAGAAGTGACGTGGGAATGAGCGGTGACCTCTCACCGCATGCAAGGTGCCGGGCGAAGCGTTTCTTTACACTGAATGTCTTATTTAGATCTTCAGATAGTCTTACGGGGCAGCCACTACTGTGAACCTCATTTTATGGATGAGGCTATGGAGGCTTAGAGACACCAAACAGTTAGCCCATGGCCATGAACTCAGTACAACTAGAATCCCGGTCCCCAGAGTCCCATCCCCTCCTGCCCTGAGCCCCCCTCCTGTCTGCTGGGAGACTCCCCCACCAGTGCAGATTCCCCAGAGCCACTCAGAAGGGTCTGAATCTGGGACATGTGTGTTTTGCCAGAAGAAAACCACACAGAAACTGGCTGTTGGGCAGGACGGACTCAGAAGGGGAAATAAAGTGACCAGCCACGTGGACGTCCTTGTTGTGGACCCAGGCACGAGGCGATGAGGCTGGTGGTGGTACAGATGGCAAATGTGACAGACAGTTCAACAAAGGGGTGGTGGAACTTAGTTATGGGGATGCGAGAGAGGGAACGGTCAAAAATGGTTGTGAGGACTAGTTTTTTTATGCTTAACCTGCTCATAGAGCATCAGAAAAGCTAAAAGAAACAGCGAGAGTGAAGGAGAGGCAGAGAGAACAGGAAACCAGGACAAGCTGGTTGGAAATGGCTCGCAGCACCGAGGGCCGTGTGACGTCCTTAGTGGGAGTGTTGGACGACGGTGATTCGGGAGAGGAAGGAGAGGAGACACTCAGAAACATCACCTTATCCTTGCTTCTTGGTTGACTTTCCCCATTAGAATTTATTGATAATTTCTTCAATGAAATGGCCCAAATTAACAACTATGTTGATACGTCAAGGAGGACCCAAAGCTTTCTATTTGCTTGTTTATTTTAGCTTAATTTAAAACAAAGCTTGAACTCAAAGACTTAGGTTTATATCGATCTTTTCCCTTCAAAATCGTACACTGTGCAGTAACATCAAGTTCCATATGGATTGGCTGAGGAATTACAGTTGCTCGGACTTTTTCCTTCAAAAAGTGACTTTTCTCTTGCTTTGTAATTGGCTTTTCCCGCAAGCAATCATTTATTCTTCAGCTTCAGATACTCATGGGTGTGCTTCCTCTGTTTTATCAGGAACATTTTACTGCTCGTAAAGTAATTAGAGCAGAGGTTTTACACTTAGAGTCTCAAATTATGGCAGGTGGTATGGCTGAGTTCCGGGCAATTTCTTGGACTGCTCACTCACATTTCCTCTGCTGTCCTAGTGCTGATGAAGAAAAACTTGAGTTGTTTGGTTTCAAATTCATGCTGACCTTGGCATTATGGCCACGTTCTTAGTTCTCAGGTTGGAATTTGAATTATTGCTGCTGGGCAATACATAATAATATTTTTTAAAAAAGAAATGAGTAAAACTGCTTCTTAAAAGGAAAGCAGTAGTCTGCCTAATTCTATGTACTTTGCTACTCATATAAACAGTACTTTTATAACTTAAGGTAATGAAGTCCACAGATAAGAAGCAGCTGTTCGTTCTTCCTTTTAAAATTGTAAAAATTCGCAAACAGTGGAACTGTTATTGCCATTTAATTTAATTTGACAAGTTATCAAGCCCTACAAGCGAAGGGTGGTACGTCTGTTACCTGTGTGCTTGGGAAAAGGGCAGGAGGTGCATCACATGGCTTTACGTGGTTGAGGCACCTGAGCTGATGTCAAGTTCTATTTAGGAAATGAGCATTTGAATCTTGTAATAAATGCCCACAGGCCCCAAGAGCTAGTGTCTTACAAAAGCCACTCCCATCTGAAAAAAACAGCATGAAGACATCAGTGTTGGTTTGGATGATGTCATAGTTTTCAAACAGTGCTTCAAACCATGAGCCGAGGTTCCGAACAGCATCACTCACCACAGACACAAAGTGTAAGCAGCTTGGTGTCTCTCAGCAGGTGAATGAGCAAGCAGAACGTGGTGTGTAAACAGTGCAAAATACTGTTCGGCCGTAGAACAGAATGAAATCCTGACACGTGCTAAAACATGGACCAGCCCTGCGAGCGTCATGCTAAGTGAAATCATCCATCCGCAGAAGGACGAATACTGCATTACTCCGTTTACCTGAGGTACCTAGAGTGGGCAAATTCAGAGGCAGAAAGGTTTTATAAACAATTTTATTTAGTCACCAATCACTTAAAAATATCTATATTCTTTTATATTTTTCTTTTAGACGATCTCCTCCAGTATTTACTTTTGTCACCTACATTGTTTTATACATATATTTACAACAATTATTAAGCTGACCCTATATTTTAACTGATCCAAGGGCTTATTGCCAACCTTTTGAGATGAGGATTTCCCAGTTTGCAGCTTCTGTATCTTGATTCGAGGACTTGTCCCCAGAAGAGCGTGTGGGCGGTGTGTGTTCCAGGCTTGCGTGTCTGCAGATGCCTTCCGGAGCCTTTCCCCACGAGCGATGATGACTTCAGTGGGTGGTAAATCTGGAGTCCCAACCTGCTAACCTCCAAATTTAGTGATGCACTCTTGTCTTTTGGAGGTTAATGTAACAGAGACCTCTGA